TTACAAATTTTAAAAAGAGTGGAAGACCTTATCCCCAAAAAAGAAAACGAGTGGAAAATCTAGAAGGGTCACCACCACACACTGCGAAGACTTTGGCCCGCTGCGCGATTCCTGCGACGGTCAAACCGCGTCTTTTACCCATTTTCGTCCAATAACCAGACTTGGTGGTGGACCGTGGGCTGGCAAAACATTAAAAAAGACTTGGTGAAGTAAACGTCAGGGCATTCACATTTTGGCCCGCATTCGGTATCCCTCTACATTTTTGACTGACCCTTCTTTAATAATCAATCCAGCAAATAATTAATTTGAAATTTTTTATTTAGAATTAAGGTTAAGGTTTAAAACTTGTGCAATATTGCCAAGTCATTAACTTCTAAGGCACTAAAAAAAATAAATCCAGCGCCTTAAGGATTGTAATTTGGTACTCAAAAGAGTTGTCATTAGTTGACAAAGGGGTTCACTCCTCATCTTTAAACCCCCTTATGTGGACCAAAATTTGATTTTGGGAAGGGCAATGAGAAGGTACTTCCTCGTAAATTTCCTAATCTCAGTGTAGATAATTTGTTTTTAATTAGATCAAGGAGGGATTAATCTTGAAATGTATATAAATTGAAATAGAAAAACCTTGACTAGTAAAACTAGGGGTGTGCATTTTTAAGTACAAGTAAATATGAGCTATATTTGATATTTAACTTGAAAAATTTTAGTTACAGTTTTATAGGCTTAGTATTTACCTAAATATTTGAAGTTCTATACTTGATACTTAACCTAACATGTACTACATAATTTATGAGCGTATTATTAGGTACTTGACTTAAGGAAAAAGAGGGCCTGAATGGATTGCTATTGTTACGTGTGTTATATCTTTGATTTAAGATTTGTTATTTATATGAGTTGCTATTATTGTATGTATGATTTGTATAACTTACAAGCCTTACTTAACTTTCATTTTTATTTTTTTATTTTATTATTTTATTTTTAAAAACTATTATTATTATATAAATATTAAGTATAATAAATGCATGTAAAATTTTAATTATACAAGTATAGGTAATTGGTATGTTAAATAAGCCAGTTAAACAAATTGGGTGAATAGTTCTAAACTCCTATATTTATTATTTAATTTAATACTTATAGGTATGTCATTTTCATACCTATTCCGTTTACCCAATTTTTTTACAATTCAAATATAATACTTACCCAAATATAATACTTACCCAAACAAATAAGGTACTTGCAAATAACGGGTATATCCATTCTCAATGCTCACTTTTAGGCTAAAACCCAAAAGAAAAAAAAAATTGTAATTTGGTTTATAGGTTAGATTTCTTTAAGAGACTTGTTAGTCATTTTTAAAATAAATGAAAAGTTGTCCATAGAATGAATTGTTACAACTTTTTGAATAATCACATCTATTTGTAAGGTGGGGTTATTACTACGTCCTTATTTGTTAATGGCACATCTTTATAATTGCTTTAACTATTTTATCTATAATTAACTCTACATTGAGAAATGGTTTAGTCAGGTATTTTGCCGTAAAACCAACTTTGCGAAATTGAAGCCTTAGTCCATAATAATCTTTTGTGAAAATCTAACAAATTCTAAAAACAAAAATTTCTTGCTTAACGAGATCATTCTTAATTTGAAAATTACTTTTGTGATTGAGAAATTAATTGCGAAATGAATTCGAGAGCTAGGGTGTTAGATTTAGAAATTATGGGGAAAAAGAAAGCAGAGAAGAACGAAGTAGAACAAGGAGAAAGCAGCGATTGAAACAATCAGGATATTTGAATTGGGATTTTAGGGTTTACTGATATAATTAGGGGGAAAATAATCCAGGCAATTAAAAAGAAGAGGCATTAACACATAGCAATGTGGTAATAATCTCAACAACATTTGTAAAGTCATGACCCTTTTTGTAAAGTTGTGAAAATTGTAATTTCCCCTATAATACCATATGAGCTAAGAAATCTTTTTTTTCTTTTTTTTAACGAAGTTTTTTTCATTATATTTAATGATTTGAAATTATCCATTATTATTATGAAATAGTAAACATATCTAATTAATTTAAAATTTTGGTGTGCAAGATTTCCAAAAACATAACATTAAATCCAATTTAGTTTGACAAATACTAGCTGTATGAAGAATTATTGACCAGTGAAAGCTATGGTGTTGATCCTAACTCATATTCAAATTAATAAAGAATAGTTAGGAATAATTAATGGACAAAACAAGGGAAGTGAAAGAATATATATATATATATATTTTGATAAAAGGTATATTTGGATTAATAATTGAAAAGCAATTATAGTGTAGAGTATACAATGCCATATAGGCTATGCAAGAGAGATAAATAAGTTAGGTAAGACCTATAACACTAATATAGAGAGCTTGGTGCTCCATACAAATAGAACAATTAAGAATTGGGAACCTTAAATACTAGTATATGTTATAGGGGTATCAATAGAGCTATGCGATAACATAGAAAAATTACACTGGAGCTTACAGTCACTATTGGTAATCACATCTATTTTGCCATCCAAACTTAGCACGAGAGATCAGGGGACTTGGTGATGTGATGTCTCTCGGCATCAGAATTCTCCGTCCAAGCAGAAAATGCCTAGTTTGTTTCATGTTCAGGTGGCCGGCAAAAGCAAAACTAGTGGCAAAACATACACTTCCTTAGAAGACCAACAGCACTAGAACCAGAGTCACCCACAACATCCTTGTCTTTTTGTATTCAATTACTGGATCAAAAATTGTGTAAAATTTTAAAGTTGAGAGATTAAAAATATACATATATTAATAGATTTAATGAACCCAATGGTAGAAATACTAAAAAAGGTATTTTCATAATTAAAGAACTAAAAAAGTGTATAAAAAATAAATGAACAAAAAATACACAAAATTTTAAAGTTAAGGGACTAAATCTTTTATTGACAATCCTCGCATTTTAATTGCCAAAATGACCTGATTTTCTACCATCATTAAAAATGATTATTTAATATAATTATTTTTATTTGTATTTCAAAAATCACTTGTTAACGATATTTATTGGCTAAGTCCTCATGTAGCACGCCTCATGAAGCAAATGCAATTTATCCTTTTATTTAACCCTTCAAATTTTACAGTATTTTTTTTTTATTTCCTGGGAATAAAAAGAGGTAGAATAGAATTTTAATTTCTATTAATTCGTCAGGATTCAGGGGCCCAAAAGAAGAAGAAATGGCTTTTAGAAAAAGTGATTAGAAAGGAAATTGATTTTACGAATTTAAAAAAGAGTGAAAGATCTTGTACTAAAGAAAGGAGAGAGTGGAAGATCCGGAAGGGCCACCACCGCACAATGCGAAGACCTCGGCAGTTTGGTCTGCTGTGCGAGTCACGCGACAGGCAAACCACGTCGTTTACTCATTTTCTTCTAATATCCGTGGAACCCCCAAATCTGCCTTAGATAAGGGTAATAAGATTTCTTTTTCTTTTTGAAAAAATAGAGATAAATTATTTTTTAAAATTATTGATCTAAATAAATGATTTATTATTTAATAATTGATATCATCACACATTAAAAATTTATTTACTACCTAAGCCTATCTTTAATTGAAATTTGATATATAATGATATCAATAATTATAAAATAATAAGTTATTTATTTCAATTATAAACTTAAAGAGATGGTTAACGATCTAAATAATTCAATGATAATTTTTTTCTGTTAAAAATAATATATCTTAAATTCAAATTGCATGACATGCAGGTGAGGTAAGATAAGAGATAAAAAATTATTATTTTTTATTGTGCAATCAAAATAAAAAAAAAAAACTTAAAGAAATGATTTTTTTTTAAATTTTTTTTACTAGCAAA